CGTTGTCATGCTCGTGCTCATCGTTGTCGCGTTGTCGGTCATGGTGGTGCTTCGTCGTTGACGCGTTGTTGTTGTTGTTGTGGTCCATTGATGTGTCGTCCTCGTCCTCGTCGTGGGCGTGGTCGTGTCGTTGTTGTGTTCTGGCTGTGGTTGCGCGAATCGCATGGTGGTCATGTCTTGTGGTCGTGGGTTGGTTGTCATCCATCCATGCGTGGTGGACGTGGTCGTGGCTTGGTTGTCGTCCATCGTCGTCGTGGGTCGTTGTTGTCGCGTCGTGCTGTGTCATTGTTGTCATGTTGCCGTATGGTGGTGGTGTGTCGTATGGTTGCCACGTCGCTGTTGGCGACGTGGCCCCTGCATTCAGTGTGAAAGAGGGAAATGAGAGGGGCAGGTGTACTCACTTTCCATGATGTGGCACGTCAACGGTCCCTCTGGACGTGCCATGTCATCTTCACTACCTGCCGTCGACGCGGCAGGCGCTCGTTTGGCTACTGGGGGTGGTGACGTGGCGTTGGCACGTTGTTGCCGTCGTCGTTTGCGTGTGCTGAGGTTGGTGTGGGCGGTTGACGACAGTAGTGGGCAGTGGTGGCCATGGGCGATGTGGTGGCACTGTGGCAAGGGAGGGGTGTCGTGGAAGATGGTGGGAGTTGAGGAAGAAGAGGGTTGAGGGTTGTTGGTGGCACCAAATCATGCATCGGTGTTTGCCGATGCTCGTTTGGGAAGGTGAACGCGAAAACGACATATATTAACTGATAGTTCTATGCCTTGTAACAGTTGTATAGCTTATTGGTAATAATGCTCCTCCCAGTTCCCACGATGTCTCCTGAGGCTATGGTTCAATCCTTGTTCATGTAATTAATGTTATTATAATAACAACTGCAATCACTGCATTTCTTCGGAATTCTGCTGGAATGCATGGATTCCATCCTGGAATACACTTTCCATTGGCATTCCATGGAATCTGGTTGGAATTCCAATGGATTCCAATGGAAACTGTTCCAGGAGGCTCCTGGATTCCGACTGGTGGGTACCACTTTTATCATATAAATAAGGTAACTGCCTAGGGCTCCCTGTGTATAAGTCCACAGTCTTTATGATAGGAATCATTCCAGTTACCATGTCTATTCATTATGCGATTTTCATTAGTTATCTGGCCGATATCATTGTGCTTTTCATTATTTATCTGGCCGATATCATTGCAATTTTCATTAGAAACCTGGGCGATATCATTGGAAATTTCATTAGCTACTTGGTGAATATCATTGTGATTTTCATTATTTATCTAGCCAATATCATTGCGATTTTCATCATTTATCTGGCCGATATCATTGCGATTTTCATTAGAAACCTGGGCGATATCATTGGAAATTTTATTAGCTACTTGGTGAATATCATTGTGATTTTCATTATTTATCTAGCCAATATCATTGTGATTTTCATTATTTATCTGGCCGATATCATTGTGATTTTCATTAGAAACCTGGGCGATATCATTGGAAATTTCATTAGCTACTTGGTGAATATCATTGTGATTTTCATTATTTATCTAGCCAATATCATTGCGATTTTCATCATTTATCTGGCCGATATCATTGCGATTTTCATTAGAAACCTGGGCGATATCATTGGAAATTTTATTAGCTACTTGGTGAATATCATTGTGATTTTCATTATTTATCTAGCCAATATCATTGTGATTTTCATTATTTATCTGGCCGATATCATTGTGATTTTCATTAGAAACCTGGGTGATATCATTGGAATTTCATTAGCTATCCGGTCAATATCATTGTGATTTTCATTATTTATCTGGCCGATATCATTGCCATTTTCATTAGAAACCTGGGCGATATCATTGGAAATTTCATTAGCTACTTGGTCAATATCATTGTGATTTTCATATTTAGCCCGGCCATTTCATTGCGATTTTTCATATTTAGCCCTGGGTATTTCATTGCGATTTTCCAAATGTGGCCCTGTGCATTTCATTGCGATTTTTCAAATGTAGCCCTGGGTATTTCATTGTGATTTTTCAATGGATACCCAGGGCATGAATGCTTTGAATACAGAACATCAGGCACTGCCTTCAGGGTCCACTTCAGGGTCCATCCCAAAAGGGAAATATCACCTGGTTTGACTAAAAAGTGAAGAAAACCAAGAGGAGAATGACTTTACCTATCAGGGTCCATGTAAGAGGATGTTGGGATGATGGTCACATGACCAATTACCAAAAATGGTCAAAAAAGCGAAAGTTGTAGCCCTATACTGTAGCTTCCCAAATCTGTTTGAATTATGTTCTGAAGTGCTCCTGTTGTGGAGATATGAGGTAAAGGAATTTCAAAAGTGTCATGTTTTTCTTTGTTTTTTGTGTTTTTCTCGATGAAAACAAAACCAAATAACATGATTTCAGTATATTTAGAAAGCTAAAAGAAAGGGCTACAATTATTGTATCATGGGAAAAATGACCAAAAAAGGAAGTACTATAAGAGTCAGATATAGACTACCAAGTTTACTGATAGACTACAAAAAAGTCGGACTTAGACTACACAGTTTACTGATAGACTATAAAAGACTACAAAAGTTGAACTTGGACTACAAAAGCTTGGACTTAGACTACAAAGTTAGGGTTAGGGTCAAAAGGTTATCTTGTTTGTAGTGTCCGCCTTTTGAGACTACAAAAGTTTGTAGTGTTGCGCTTTTTCATTACAAAAGTTTGTAGTGTGTGATTTTTGAAACTACAAAAGTTTGTAGTGTTGCGCTTTTTCTTTAGAAAAGTTTGTAGTGTCCACCTTTTGAGACTACAAAAGTTTGTAGTGTTGCGCTTTTTCATTAGAAAAGTTTGTAGTTGACATGTAGTTTATGGTGTCCTTGGCCCTATCTAT